TGATTCTGCAGGGAGGGGCTGTTCCTCCCACGCCTGAGGAACAGAGGGCTGCCCACTGCCCTGGCCACCACAGCCAAGCACAAGTCTCTTGGGGCAAAGAAGAGGCCACGCGGTGGGCCCACTTCCAGCCATCTCACCACTGAGTCACTTCCGCTCCCCACGTGGTGCTCAGGCCCAGAGCTCTCGGGACTCAGGGACCACCCAGGAGGACAACCGGGCTGGAGAGGGCAGACGACGCGCCAAGACTAGAGCCATGTCTCCCGCTCTCAAATTGGTCTGTGCATTGCGCCAGGCTGTGTCATGGGTGTCTTGGGGGTGGGTCCCTCTCACTGGAGGTGTGGAAACAACCCCACAGGTGGCTGTAAATGGCTTGGACAAGCCAGTGGGAAGCTCCAAGGTGGGCCTGTCATCAAGGGGCTGGTGGCACCTGAGTGTCCCCTTAGGGCATGTTAGGGGGCCAGGTGCCAGCTTGCATCAAAAGAGGCAGCGGCCTGGGAGGCCCAGTCAGCTGGCCACAGGGCAGGAGGGGCCTCGGGTGGAAACGGCTTGACTGGCAGAGTGGGCCCTGACACTCGGCCACCGGTGGGCTGGGCAGCCCAACTAGTGTGTTTTCTTAATCACCGTCCCCACCATCCCCCATTCCCCATACATCACATCACATCACATCACATCACATCACATCACATCACATCACATCACATCACATCACTGTGTTTGTTTTGAGCAGGGCACAATCCTTTGCCAACAGCTGTAATTCGAAGACTGGTGTGGCCTTTGGAGGAGCCCGAGAAGGGATCACTGGAACTCGCTGCCTGGCCTGCTCTGCTGGGCATTTTACTTTTTCCATTTGGGTGAAAGAAATCCAGGTTCTTTACACCCCATAGAACCCAAAAGCCAAATATTTGCTGTCTGCCCTGCCGTTTCCAGCTCAGGTAGAGGCGGCGGCTCTTCCCGGCTGCCAGGGAGGGAAGTGCTGGAAGTCAGACCCGAGCCGGGCAGCCCCTGCAATGTTATGGGAGATCCCTGAGGGGTTTCCGGAGGCTGGAGGAGAAACACACCAGCGCTGCCCGAGGGACCTCTGCTGTGCACACGAAGAGGCTGTGGGATGTGAGGGAAAGGAGGAGAGAGGCAGGGCTTGGGTCCCACACAGGAGCCCCCCGCACAAGGAGAGCCTGGAACCCTGCAACATGGTGTCAGCGGGTCCTCCTCAGCGATCTCATTCTAAATATTAACTCACACCAGCTCTTTTCTTCTCTGTCTCACAGGATTTGGCCCTGTCTTATCTTTCTTTATTGTTGTTTTTTTTTTGAGGCGGAGTCTTGCACTGTGGCTTAGGTTGGAGTGCTGTGGTGCGATCTTGGCTCACCGCAACCTCCACCTCCCGGGTTTAAGCGATTCTCCTGCCTCAGCCTCCCAAGTAGCTGGGATTACAGGCACCCACCACCACGCCCTGCTAACTTTTTTATATTTTTAGTAGAGACGGGGTATTACCATGTTGGTCAGGCTGGTCTCGAACTCCTGACCTCGTGGTTTGCCTGCCTTGGCATCCCAAAGTGCTGGGATTACAGGCGTAAGCCACCTCACCCGACCTCTTTTTTTAAGTAAATTTTACTTTTTTAGAGACAGGGTCTCACTCTGTTGCCCAGGCTGGAATGCAGTAGTGCAGTCATGGCTCATTACACTTCAAACTCCCAGGCTCCAGAGATCCTCCCTCCTCAAGCTCTGGAGTAGCTGAGATTACAGATATCTGCCACCACACCTGGCTGCTTCTTTTACAGTGCTTGTCTAGAATTGGGGTGGAGCCACTCTGAGAATGTGCAGCATCTTACCACCATCAGCAAGGTCCAGGGCGGCGTGGCCCCGTGTAAGATGTGATCCAAGACCTTCCGGAGGCTTCCGGTAATGGCCTGCCCTGGGCCTGCTGACTGCAGAGGATTCAGCTGCAAAGGTGCTGTGGTGAGGCGCAGGACTCGGGGTGAGGCTCCCCTCACCGCCTGCCAGGGGCTCCCTAGGGCTGATTATAACTTGTTTGGCTCATCCTGGACAGTCCAGGACTTGGAGAGGCGACTAGCTGTGATTCATAACAACTCATTTTCCCTGTCCACAGGACCAGCTACATAATTTGTGGAGCCCAGTGTAAAATGAAAGTGTATGTGTTTGTGTGTTGGTGGGAGGGGGTGACTTGCTAAAAAATAAGAATTTCAGGCCGTATGGCAGCTCACAGCTGCAATCCCAGCACCTTAGGAGGCTGAGGTGGGAGGATCGTTTGAGGCCAGCAGTTCTAGGCCAACCTGGGCAACATAAGACCCCATCTCTACCAAAAAAAAAAAAAAAAAATCCAGGAGTGGTGGTGCACACCTGTAGTCCCAGCTACATGAGAGGCTAAGGTGGGAATGGCGCTTGAGCCAGAAGTTCGAGGCTGCAGTGAGCTATGCTCATACCACTACATTCCAGCCTGGGCAACCAAGTGAGTACTTGTCTCTAAAATAAAATAAAATACATTTTTTAAAAGTTCAAGATAGCACCAGCAGAGCATTAAACCAAGTGTGGGACCTTGTAGGAGGGTACTGGTTGCAGACCCATGAATCCAGCCCTACCCTCTTGGGCCTCAGTTCCCCTAAGTATGCAATGTGGAGGCGGCATTTGGTCAGGAGTTTGCTGGTGGAGCCCTTTCTTCCAATAAACCCTCAGATCGTTCTATATATAAGAGACAAACAGAGCTGCTCAGGCTGAAGCAGGCTGAGAGCTCTGGCCCCACCTCTTCCACCTCTATACCTGTCCGTGGCACCTGAGAGTGTGACAGCCCTGTAGATGATCCCAAATGCCCTTTTCAGTTTCTGCTTTCCATAGTGGATGAGGTGGTGAGGCTCTCACTGCTAGAACACAAGCATCTGCTGCGGGCGTTATGCTAACCCAAGAACGGGCTGCAAGGGCTGCCCTGGTGCTGGTTCACTTTTGGGGTGAGCTCAGGCCCGGCCCACGGGGCTTCCCCAGCGGCTTCCTCCCAAGGAGGTCAGAGGGTGGGTCAGGCAGGATTCAGCGGTTGGGAAGGGCAGGGCCTGGGCTGAGGGGCTCTGACACCGCAGGTCTCTTTTGGGGAAGGGCTGGAGGTCCTTGGGGAGAATCCTAGGCCCGGCCCCGGTTGAAAGGCTCGGTGGGGGCTGCAGGAGCCTCTCTGATGGGTCCCCAGGGTCGAAATTTACACTGCTGAAAAGTTGTCTGGTGACACCTTTCTGCGCCTACTGGTTAAAGGGATCAGAAACTTCTCTGGACTTTATCTGTGAGGTTAGAGCAACTGCCGATGAGAACAAGACTGCAAGGGGCGTGTGTGAATATCCCCATTCTCCCTCTCCTCCTCTTTGCTTCCCCGGTCTTCAGGGCTCCGTCCCGTCTCGCAAGATGCCCCAAAAGGCAAGGGCAAAGCCAGAGGCGTCCTGCCCTCCTCCCAGCCCCGCCTGCAGGAAGGGCGCCCCCCAGGCCCTGGGTGGAGCGGAGGTGCGGGCGGGCCCCCTGGGAGCTACCCGCCACCGGCCGCGCTTACCTTTCATGGTTCCTTCCTCCGGGGCCTCGGGAGCGCCCCGCTGCAGGCGGCTGGAGCTGCGGTGGAGCCGGGCGGCCGGCGGGTCCTCCAGGGCGCCTATCGCCGTCCTACGCGCAGCCGGCGGCCGTGGGGCTCCGGCCGGGACTCATGCTCCCGCGCGCGGACTGCGAAGGCGGCGGTCGGAGGGGAGGGTCCCGCGGGGTCGCAGCCTGGGGACGCCCCGCCGGGCGCCTAGCGCCGCGCCCCACCGCCCAGAGCGCGCATCCCACCGCCGCCCGCGCGTCCCGCTGGGGTCCCGCGAGGTCTGCCGCCGCCCCTTGCCCCGCGCGCCCTCCCTTCCTCCCTCCCACCCGCTCCTCTCCCTCTCCCTCTCCCTCCTTCTCTCCCTGCTCGCAAGCCTCCCTCCCTCCTCGTCACTTCTTGGGCCCTGGCCCAGATCAACTTCCTTGGTATTTTCAAAACTGCCGCGGCCGGCCTCTTTGTGCCGCCACCGAGTCCCCGCGCCCCGCCCGCCGCGCCCGCGCGTTCCCGCAGCCTCAGAGCCGGGCCTCGAACCCGGGACCTGCCACGTCCTCCATGTCCGCACTGCCGCTACAATGAGGGACACACCTGGAGAGCTCTTTGATCTTAGTCGTTTTCACTATCGGGAGCGCCACGTGGCTGGGGCAGGGGCGGGGACCCCAGATTTCAGCCCTGCACGTTTTTCTCACCCATCTATGGGGTCACGGGCCTGGGAGAAGGACGCCCGGGACCCCACATTTTAGTGCTGAAAGTCCCGTGTCCCAGGCACATGTGAAAGGCTGGCCACCCCTGTGAGCACCCTGGCTCTGCCCCTGCCGAGCTGAGCGACTTCGGGGATCAAGTTCATATCTCCAAGCTTCTGCTTTATACATGGGAGAACTGGGTCTGGAGTGCACCACATTCTGTGATTGATTGATTTAATGATTTATTGATTTGAGACAGAGTCTCTCTCTGTCGCCAGGCTGGAGTGCACGATATCGGCTCACTGCAACCTCTGCCTCCTCGGTTCAAGCGATTCGCCGATTTATTTGTTATTTTTATTTTTTTTGAGGCTCTAGCCACCCAGGATGGAGTGTAGTGGCATGATCTTGGCTCATTGCAACCTCCGCCTCCCAGGTTCAAGCGATTCTCCTGCCTCAGTCTCCTGAATAGCTGGGATTACAGGAACGCGCCACCGCACCCAGCTAGTATTTTTTGTGTTTTTAGCAGAGACTAAAAACTTTGGCCAGGTTAGTCTGGAACTTCTGACCTCAGGTGGTCCACCCAACTCAGCCTACCAAAAAGCTGGGATTACAGGACTGAACCACTGCACCCAGCCATCATATTCTGTGATTTTGTTGGTGGAGGGGCCTCTGGGGTAAACAGTGACTCCCAAGGGAAGTGACTGCAGGTAAGGAGTTGAGACTCTGGTCAGAGCACCCCTCCAGATCCTCACCTGTCATTTTTTATTGATTCATTTATTTCATTGAGCAAACACTGACTGGGCTGCTAGTTGCTGCCCAGGTCTAGGTCTGCTCTGCCCACCCCCAACCCACACCTGCAGGAAATCAATCAGGTGAAATTGATTTTAGAGAAGAGAAAAGACTTATTGGCAAGGGCACTAAAGAGGAGGTGGGAGAACAGCTCTTAAATCCACCTCCCAGAAGATAAGGCTTAAGGATATGTATGGGTTAGGCAGGTGGAGTGGTCTAAGCCCTGGGGAGAGGCGAATGGCAGTGGGGATAAACGAAGAAACAGGTTCATTCTGCGCCAGCGTAGTCTGAGCTCATGGTATTTCATAGGACATATATACAGAAAACTGCAGTGTTAGCATGATCCAAGGGTGAAGTGTTTTGGTTCTCCAACGTCAAAAGGCCACCTCCTGGGGCACTTGCCCAGTTGAAGGGTCAGTGGTCTCACTGGTTTGAGACGGACAGGAGCTGGTCCAAATTCCTAAGAAACAACTGAAGAAACCTATAATGGTGACCTATGAATGCTACCTATCAAGCAGCCAGTGCAGGTTAAGTTTCAGTGTTCAGTAGTGTAGCCTTCAGCTTCAGGAAAAAGGGAAACACGACAAAAACAACCAAAAAACAAAAAGCAAGCGACCAAAAGCAAACAGGGTAGCCGGACCACACCAAATCGGTCTCACTATGAGGAACCAGGCCCTACCCCAAGCTCCGAGAGTGTGAGGAGCATGCTGCACGGCCAGTCTGGTGAGGAAAGCCAGCAATTAAGTGCAGAGCTGGGATGAATGTTATGAGAAGAAAGTGCAGGAAGAAACGGGACCACAAAGTGACACGGGCCAGCCTGGTTTTCTGATGCCACAGTCGGCACCATCTCCCCATCCCCAAGCCTACATGCCCACCCCATTTAATGCTGGAGTGACGTAGGTGAGACCCAAGGGAAAGAGAAAATTTCTCCCAAACTTGGAATAAAGAAGGGGACAAGGACAGCCACCCCTGTCTGTAGATCCCAGCAAATCAGCATGGGTGATGCTGTGTTCTCTCTACTCTCCACTTTGCCATGGCGAGTTTAGTTTGCAAAGTCCCTTCTCTCCATGATCTCAGCAGAACCTCACAACCAGCTTGAGGGCGGGAACCAAGGGACTGTGCTGCCCATTTTACAGATGAGGAGACTGAGGTTTAGAGAGGGTATTGCCTGCCTGGTGACAGTCATGTGCTCCTGTCACCTGTATCTGGATTCTGAGTTTCCTGTATGAGCTGAGTCTCCCAGGACTAGGGCAGGGATCAGGAGAGCTGTTTTGTAAACACAAGGGAGATAACCACCTTGGAGGTTACCTGCACGCTAACTCGTTTACCTCAGAGGTTACCTGTACGCTAACTTATTTAATCCTCATGTCCGTTCTACAAGGTAAGCAGCATTATTGTCCTCATTTTTCAGATGAGGAAACTGAGGTATGGAGAGGGTAAATAATGTGCTTAGCACCACGGAGCTAGTAAGTGGAGATCATGGGCTACGAACCTAGGCAGGCTAAATCCAATGCCTGTGTACCAAGACACAGTCCACCACACTGCTTCTCGTAGAGGGTGCTCAAATATTTGTTGACAGGAAGTACCAAAAATGCGGGAATGTAAAGTAGTACAACCATTATGGAAAACAGTATAGAGGTTCCTAAAAAAACTGAAAATAGAACTACTGGATGATCCAGCAACCGCTGCTGGGTATATATCCAAACGGTAGAAAGGAAATCAGTACATCCGAGAGATGCCTGCACTGCCAGGTTTATTGTGGCACTATTCAGAACAGCCAAGATATTGAATCCACTTAAGATCAGCAGATAAATGAATAAAGAAAATGCGGTACATATACACAATGGAACACTATTCAGCCATAAAATAAAGAAGGAAACCCTGTCATCTGCAACAATATGGATGGAACTGCAGGTCATTTATGTGAAGTGACATTAGCCAGGTACAGAAAGACAAATACTGCATGATTTCATTCACATGAGGAAGCTACGAAAATGGACCTGATGGAGGTAGGGCGTCGAATGATTACCAGAGGCTGGGAAGGAAGGCAGTGGGGAGAGGAAGAGAAGTGGGTTAATGGATACAGAAATACAGCTAAATAGAAGGAGCAAGTATTCGATACTACAGTAGGGAAATTAGAGTTAACAATTAATTGTGTATTTCAGAAATAGCCAAAAGAGAAAAATCAGAGTGTTCCCAACATAAAGAAGAGGTAAATGTTTGGGGTGACAGATGTCCCAGTTACCCTGGTTTGGCCATTACACATTATATACATGCATCAAAATATCACATGTATCCCCAAAATATATACAAGTATGACACATCCAAAAGAAAAAAAGAAATAAAATTAGAGCTTACATCATTAAAAAAAAGAAATAGCAAAAAATGACCCTCGTTTTTACCCAGCTTTCTATAGTTGGTGGGAAAAAATGGCCTAGCCCCTGCCCCTTTAATGTTAAAGGACGCGGACATCCTGGGCTGTTGCTATGGTAACACAAACGCATCAGCAAAGAGATGGTTGCAGATGGGCCCTGAGTGAGCAAAGGTGGTACCCAGCCCTGAAGAGGTACTGAGGATGAATCCCCGTTCCAAAAGGACTCTGGGGGAAGAATCCCCGCCTTATGAGTGGCAGAAAAGAGAAGAGTCGGTGGGCAGCAGAGGTCATAGTTCAAAGCCAAGAAAGCAGAAAGAGAAGGGTAAAGAAGGAGTCGGTCCTCATCTCAGATAAGAAAAGAAGAGAGAGGATTTCCCAGAGGTGACCCTAGGCTTAGGGAGAAGATTTCAGCTGCAATTCAGGCAATTTCCGTCAACAACCAGAGGGCTGGACCAGGGTCATCTGGAGTGACTCCCCCTGAGAGACTGGATTATGGCCATTGGGATGTGGTGTAAGCTGGGCCAGGTGGCACCAGCTGGGGTGGGTTGGGGAAGGGGGAAACTGCTTAATCTTGTTTTTAACTTGAGATGAGTGGGGGTGGCTGAAGGCTGTACAGAAGCCCTGTCAATGTTGAAAGTGAAAGGAAATAGCTAAAGAGAGGCCATTAGAGAAGGAAGAATGGAGTGACTGATGGCACAACATTTCCTGTGTTCATGACGGTAGAAAGTCCATGTCAGCGTTCGCGAGCAGTGTCTCATTTGCTCAGAATAACTGGCTCACCCCAGCCCCCTGCCTGAAAGCTGCAATGAGTTTCCTTTTCTTTTTTCTAATTTAGGCAAAAGCCACCCCTCTTTCTCCTAAAGCTCACTTCCTCCACCTGTGCCTCTGATCCTTGACTCCTCTCCAGTAAATGCGTTAAGCAGGATTTCCGCTTTTCTTTCCGCCTCATTCCTTGCTCTAATTAACTCTCCTTAGAATGCTCAGGGAAATTGATCTCTTCCTCGTCGTTGGCTAATATAATAGCCTTTTCCAAAATCTGCAACTTCTTCAACAGTTTTGTAGCATTTAACACCATTGGTCAGGGTTCTCCAAAGTAACAGAACCAATAGAACATACGTATATAGATATGTATGCATCTCTCTATATATCTATATCCATACACATAGGTGCATAGAGAAAAATTATGTAGATAAGGATAGAAATAAATATTTTCAGAAATTGGCTCATGCAATTATGGAGGCCGCCAAGTCCAAAATTTGCAGGGCAGGCTGGAGACCCAGGAGCAGGTGATGTTGCCATTCAAGTTCGATGGCAGTCTGGAAGCAGGGTTCTCTCTTTCTCAGGGGACCACATCTTGTTTCTCTTAAGGCCCTCAACTGACTGGACGGGACACCAGATTATGGAAGGTAATTCACTCTACCCAAAGTTTGCTCATGTAAATGTTAATCTCATCTAAAAAAAAAATTCCTTTGTCTTAGAAACATCTAGAAGAGTGTTTGACCAAATATCTGAGGACTGTGCCCTAAGTTGACACATAAAATTACCCATCACTAACTCCATGGACAGCTCCTTCTTGACTGCCTTCTCTGGCTTATCTGATCCTACATACTTGGGGTCCTCTTTCTAAACTTTGACTTCTGTTTTGCTGTTAGCTTCTCCTATTGGTATATTTTCTAAATAGATGCATTCCCTATCCTTATGTTAGTCAGTGTAAGTAGCAATCTCTGCTATAGCATCCATCCCCATACCCCATTATCTTAATACAATGAAAGCTTATTCCTCACTCATATTGCAATCCAATATGGGTTGGGCAGTTCTCTTCCACATAGTGACTCAGGGACCCAGGGTTCTTCCATCTTGTAATACCATTATCTGTAACATATGGCCCCTAAGTGTGGGGGATCAGTCAGAGTGGTGGAAAGACTATAGGGAAAGAAGGCAAACCTCCTGAAAGGTCGGAAGGTTCTGCAGAGCCCCAGGGGAGAATAGCTGAAGGCAGCTGTTCTATAACCCTCAGGCAGGGGGCAAGGAGTAGGTACAAGGGAGTATGTGGGAATTTATCTTAAACAGGCTCGTTTACTTATGTTGACCAGGAACTGACCATTGATCATCTGTTTGCCTGACGTTCCCTGAAAGGGGAACAATAAATGTTAAATGTTAACTACCTGCAGGTTGTGTTGGCTCCGGTTTTCAGCATTGTGCCTGCACTGAATAAAAGCAAGCGGCTCCAGCTCCTCAGGGCCGCTCTCTGGCCACTAGAGCCAGGCAGTCACCCAGCTGCTCTTACACTGCATACCTGTGTCTGAATACTCATTTCATCCAACAGCCAAGGTCTCCCTTCTTTTGTTGCTTCCTCCCAGAACTTCCCCTATGATATCTCTCGTGTCTATGGATTCTTGCCTCACTGTACATTTACCAATACTGGAATTTTTGATAACGGCCAAGAGGTGTGTGGCAATACCACTCTTAAACCATTGGGTGATGCTATATAACATGGCCTCTTCTAGCCTGATGAATCTTCAAAGGGGGCTTAATAGGATCAAATTAATACTTGAACCTTAGGTATTAATCCGGTTCATTAATTAGGTTCGTGAACCTTATTTCATGAACTCTGTAAAGATACAGCTCTGAGAAAAGTAGTTTAATTACAAAGGATGTTTCAGAGCTTATACAAATCTTCCAGCTTAATATAATACCATCTTAGCAAAGAAAGTTTCTTCATCTGAATCAATTATAACTTGATTCATATCCCTTGTCCATAGCACCTGGCTATACAATCAAAATATATTTAATAAATGGACAAAAGCCATGCATGGCCAAATATCAACTAGATCTTTTTTCTCTGAATGACTAAGCTTCATCTTTTACTAGTGAAAATGATATGACACTAAATGTGGGGTTTTAATTTATCTTTCTTGAATTTTATCTTATCAGTGTACTATAGCCCTCTGTCAAGATTGTTCTGAATTTTCTTCTTCCAGTTTTGAGTGAGAAACAAACCCTCCAGGACATGGGTAGAAATGTCCATCAGCACCCTTCTTATCATGTTAAAAGCCCAACTGTTGCAGGCCTCCCATAAGGAAATT